GTTCGCTTGCTAGTGCAATGGACCCTTGGCTACCCTAATAGCACATATGAGACTCCAAGAAATGTCTTGATTACCCTAGACAGATATGTTATTGTTGTTGTTGTTATTGTTAGGTCCATAGATTCAGTACCAACTCATAGTGACCCTATGCACAACAGAATGAAACAGTACCCAGTCCTGGGCACCCTCACTGTTGTTGCCATATTTGAGTCCATTGATGCTGCCACTTTGCCAATCCTTCTTGATGGGGGTCTTCCTCTTTTTCTCTGACCCTCCACCTTACCAAACATGATATCCTTCTCCAGCAACTAGTCCCTCCTGACAATATGTCCGAAGTATGAGAGATGAAGTTTGGCCATCCTGGCCTCCAAGGAGCACTCTGGCTGCATTTCTTCCAACACAGATCTGTTAGTTCTTTTGGCAACCCATGGCACTTTTAATATTCTCCTCCAACACCATAATTCAAAAGCATCAATTCTTCTACAGTCTTCCTTATTCACTTTCACATGCATATGAGGTTATTGAAAATACCATGGCTTGGGTCAGGCGCACCTTAGTCCTCAGATTGACATCTTTGCTCTTCAACACTTTAGAAAGTTCTAATATAATCTGTCTTTTGATTTCTTGACTGCTGTTTCTGTGAGTGTTGATTGTTGATCCAAGAAGAATGAAGTCCTTGACAACTTCAGTCTTTTCTCGTTGATAAGAATGTTGTTTATTGCTCCAGTGGTGGTTGGTGGTTATGTGCCGTGGAGTTGGTTCTGACTCATAGCGACCCTGTACAGGGTTTCCAAGGCTGTAAGTCTTTATGGGAGCAGAAAGCCTCATCTTTCTCGCGCGGAACAGCTGGTAGATTTGAACTGCTGACCTTGTGGTTTTCAGCCCAATTCGTAACCACTACGCTACCAGAGCTCCTATTGGTCCAGTAGTGAGGCTTTTTGATTACTTTACATTGAGATGCAATCCACACTAAAGGCTGTGCTCTTTGATCTTCATCAGTATTTTAAGTCCTCTTCACTTTCAGCAAGCAAAGTTGTATCATTTGCATATCATAGGTTGTTAATGAGTCTTCCTCCAATCCTGATGCCACGTTTTTCTTCATATAACCCAGCTACTTGGATTATTTGCTCAGCATACAGGTTGGAAAAGTACGATGAAAGAACACAACCCTGTCGCACACCTTTCTTAGTTTTAAACTATTCAGTTTTCTCATGTTCTGTTCAAATAACTGCCTCTGGTGCATGTACAGATGCCTTGTGAGCACAATTAAGTGTTCAGGAATATTCATATTTTGCAATGTTGTCCATAGCTTGTCATGAGCCACACAATCGAAAGCCTTTGCATAGTCAATAAAGCATAGGTAAACATCTTTCTGGTATTCTCTGCTTCCAGCCAAGATCCATCAGACATCAGCAATGATATCCCTCATTCCACACCCTCTTCTGAATCCAGCTTAAACCTCTGGAAGTTCTCTGTCAATGTATGCTTGCAGCCATTTCTGTATTACCTTTAGTAAAACTTTACTCGCATGAGATATCAAAGAGATTGTCCGATGATTTCCACATTCTGTTGGGTCACCTCTCTTTGGAATGGGCACAAATACGATCTCTTCCAATCAGTCGGCCAGATAGTTGTCTTTGTAATTTCTTGGCAGAGATGAGTGAGTGCCTCCAGTGCCGCCTCACTTTCCTGAAAGATTTCCATTTTGATTCCATCAATTCCTGGTGCCTTGTTCTTTGCCACTTCTTTCAATGCATCTTGGATATGTTGTTGTTATTGTTGTTGTTAAGTACCGTGGAATTGGTTTCTACCCATAGCGACCCTGTATAGGGTTTCCAAGGAGCGGCTGGTGAGCTTGAACTATGGATGTTGCAGTTCGAATTGCTTTGAGGGCTGACGCATTAACACAGCTCATGATAAATCACTTATATCATGATATACACAGATATATCCATATCTGGAGTCATGAAGCTCTTTAGTCATGCCTCAGTTCTAGCATTTGAGCTTCTTAAATTTATTGAACCTCAGTTTCTTCATTCCTAAAAGGAGGCTGAATTAGACAATGTATGTAATGCACAAAGTTTAAATGTTCAGAGTGAGTGTGGGTTCTGGTTCTAATTTCCATGAATTACAAAACTTCTAGTTCCACCAATCTGGATTGTTAACAATGGCAGCCACACCAGGGTCGGTGTGAGGGGTCCATGTGGTTGTGTTGGTGATTGCTGGGATACCAAGATGGAACAGAGACAAGTTAGCTGTTGTTACCACTAATATCAGCTTCCAGACCACCACACAGAAGCAGTGAATTAGTGCTAAAGCAGAGACAAAGGTGTCAAACTCACATAGGAATCAACTGATTTGCTGTTCTCTCAGGAGGACCCCTCAGTGGAGTTCAGGCAAGCGCATCTGTCCAGCCCACAGCTAACTTGATCCCCTCATGTGAGAACAGTGCTGGAATCTGGACTCACCAGGGACGTCCTCTGGGACTTTTTTTCACTCATATCTCTGATGGACAAAGGGAGCCTGAAGATCCGACCGTGGCTGACCCTGGGGAGATATTGTCCCACCACCCCAAGGAGGGGGCTCTGGGTGAAAGCAGAGGAAAGGAGGGCATCTGGTCCGTGTTTGGAGGTCTTATCCGTTCTTCCCCTTGAGTGAGGATCATTGCAGTCAGATCTTTGCAAGTGTCCACCTGGTGTCTCCTTCCCCCAGTTCTCTGTACCTTCTGTTGTGTGGTTCACTTTCCATCTACAGCATACCTCTGACTTTGCTAAGACCCCACAATCTTCAGTACATACAACTTTTCCAAGTTAAGTGAATGAACTTAATAAAATGTCAACTTCAGGGTCACTTTTTTGCATGAGCCCTTTCTAATAGCTGATTTAGGGTGATTTTTCAATCAAAACCTGATTTTGAATTCTTTTTTAAAGGATTCCCTTCCCCACTCTTTCTACCCTGTGTTGGATATACCTCGATCCTCACAAACCTGAATCTGCTCTCAAGTTCTGCCTGGGTGACTTTTCTGGAGTCATCACTGTAGGGGAGCCCAAGAAGGGGGAGGGAGAATCTGGAGAAATGGAGCCGGAGGCTGCCCTGGATAGTCCTCGCTATGTGGCACTGGGCAAGTGGCGTCCCCTCTGTGGTCTCAGTTTGCTCTTCTGGATGAAGTTTTTGTGGCTTCTTAGCTCTTAACATGATAAGACTGAGAACCTTATTAGGGTCCTGTGGTCCTCCTGTTTGTTTTGAAGTTAGGACCCTCCAAGTTAGAGAGGAGAGCCCACACTGCTGTCTGACTGGCCCCCTCATGTGGGGCCAGAGCTCCTCTGGGGAGCATGGGACCACTCTTCATTAAGCTAAACTTAGTTGTGGTTGGGGCAGATTTAGTGGTGGCCAGGGCGGATTTAGTCATGATCCAGGTGGACTTAGTTTTACTCCGGGTGGACTCAGTGTTGGTCCGGGTGGACTCAGTCTTGGTCCGGGTGGACTTAGTCTTGGTCTGGATGGACTTAGTCTTGGTCTGGGTGGACTTAGTCTTGGTCTGGGTGGACTCAGTCTTGGTCAGGGTGGACTCAGTCTTGGTCCGGGTGGACTTAGTCTTGGTCTGGGTGGACTTAGTCTTGGTCTGGGTGGACTCAGTCTTGGTCAGGGTGGACTCAGTCTTGTTCCGGGTGGACTCATTCTTGGTCCAGGTAGACTCAGTCTTGGTCCGGGTGGGCTCAGTCTTGGTCCGGGTGGGCTCAGTCTTGGTTGGGGTGGACATAGTCTTGCTCGGGGTAGACTTAGTCTTGGTCCAGGTAGACTCAGTCTCGGTCAGGGTGGACTCAGTGTTGGTCCGGGTGGACTCAGTCTTGCTCTGGGTGGGCTTAGTCTTGGTCTGGGTAGACTTAGTCTTGGTCTGGGTGGACTTAGTCTTGGTCTGGGTGGACTCAGTCTTGGTCTGGGTGGACTTAGTTTTGGTCTGGGTGGACTCAGTGTTGGTCCGGGTGGACTCAGTCTTGGTCTGGGTGGACTCAGTGTTGGTCCGGGTGGACTTAGTCTTGCTCCGGGTGGGCTCAGTCTTGGTCTGGGTAGACTTAGTCTTGGTCTGGGTGGACTTAGTCTTGGTCAGGGTGGACTCAGTCTTGGTCCGGGTGGACTCAGTCTTGGTCCGGGTGGACTCAGTCTTGGTCCGGGTGGACTCAGTCTTGGTCTGGGTGGACTCAGTCTTGGTCTGGGTGGACTTAGTCTTGGTCTGGGTGGACTTAGTCTTGGTCTGGGTGGACTCAGTCTTGGTCGGGGTGGACATAGTCTTGCTCGGGGTAGACTTAGTCTTGGTCCAGGTGGACTCAGTCTCGGTCAGGGTGGACTCAGTGTTGGTCCGGGTGGACTCAGTCTTGCTCCGGGTGGACTTAGTCTTGGTCTGGGTGGACTCAGTCTTGGTCTGGGTGGACTCAGTGTTGGTCTGGGTGGACTCAGTCTTGGTCTGGGTGGACTCAGTCTTGGTCTGGGTGGACTCAGTCTTGGTCTGGGTGGACTCAGTCTTGGTCCGGGTAGACTTAGTCTTGCTCCTGGTGGGCTCAGTCTTGGTCAGGATAGAGGCTGCTGAGACAGCAGAGGCAGACACTCCTAGGAGTTCATTCTTGAGTGTTGGGGTGTGGTGATGAACTCAGACAGACCTGGATTCAAATTCCAGCTCTCTCACTTCCTGGCTGTGTGGCCTCGATCAAACAACTCAGTCTCTTGAGTCTTAGTTTATCTTCAAAACAGAGGGACTAATATCTACATAGCAGGATTATTCTAAGGATTAAATGAGATACTGTGTGTGAACATGCCTGGCCTTTGGAGGTTCTTGTGGCCACTCACCATTGCTATTATTCTCTCATGGTGTCTACTCTTTGGAAGCAGGGAGGGGCAAGACAAGAGGTGATGGTGAGGGTGAGGTCTCAGCAGGGAGTGTGCCCTGTCTGCCAGAGCACTGGAAGCCTGGAGACCTGGGTCCTAGCAGGTTCCTGGGTCAGGGAGAGCATGGGGCCCAGGGAGGAAGCACTAGTGACCAATGGAGTAGGCCCCTGAGTCCGTGGACTGCTTCTCCTCCGTAGTCTGGTCACTGGGGTACACTGGGTTGGCCGAGGCTGCGACCTTCAGTGTTGTTTCGTTGACCTGAAGCAGAAAAGCTGGCATTACCCACAAGATCCTCCTGTGGGTCCCCATTGCTGGACGAGGTTGTGGGGCCCGCAGCCTGGACAGCTGGAGAGCTAGAGCAAATCCTTCCAAATATGCCCCCAAGACCTTCTGCAGGGAACACACAAGTCACAGCCAACCCACAGGAGGGTCTGTCCTGGTCCAGAGCTGGAGAGAGGACGATGAGAGGTTTGGGGTGTTGACAGCAGTAGCCCAGAGCCCCAAAGTGTCTCCAGAAAGGCCAGTCTTGGCCAAACCACCTCTTGTGTGGACCCCAAGTTCACTGAAGCTCACTGACAGGTACACTGAGAGCCCCTGGGTCCATAGCCTTCCTGGCCCTGCCCCCTGCCTCCTGTGTGCTCACCTCCTCAAATTTCTTTGCTTTGTACTGGTCGGCTCCTTTGAGGAAGTTGAGCAGGATGATATCACAGAGGACGGTCCCCTAGAGAAGAGGAGGCAGATATGTCTCTGAGGGTAGAGCAGAGTGGCAGGGGAGGGGTGGGCAGTAGACAGGACTTCCCTGACATCAGCTTGCAAGGAGTCTGTGAGAACCCTACAGAATGTCTTCCTGACCTGCCTTCCCATCCCCTGGATTGCCCAGACCATGATGTAGAAGGGGACATGGGAGCAGAAGTCCCAGGGGGAGTTTCTCATCCAAGCTTCTCAGGTATGTGGAACCTGGCGTCTCCTCCAGGGACTTTGTGACAGTTGGAGCCGTCTGACAATGGAGAGGGTGTTTTAGGAGTTAATGAGCTCCCCATGACTGGAGGTGTTCAAACCTGGGCTGACCCAGCAGGGAGGTGGTGAAGACTGAAGCACCTGCCAAGTGGTTGTACTTCCACATTCTAGGCAGGAGTAGGGCATACCCCACTCTGTACACCTGTGCCAGCCTGGGCCCCAGAGTAGAACTCTGTACCCCACACCCTCCTCCACTAGCCTGGCGGGGCCTGAACTCACCACTCCCACAGAGGTGAAGGCTGCTACCGCGCTGATGATGGTAGGGATGATGTTGAACTTGCCAGCCTGTGCACAAAGACCACGGTGAATGAGCAGGGTCCAGCAGGGGAGTCTGGGGCCTGGGGCTGAACATGGGCTCCCCACCTAAGACACTGGTGGCTCAGCAGGTCCTGGGCCTTCACTGCACAGCAGAGGATCTCAGAAGTCCTCAGTGGCAGAACTCTGTCCCCAGAAGAGCCCTCTCAGGGCCCTAGAGCTGGTCTCTGTCACCACCCACGTGCACCCCACTTGCTCAGCCCAAGAACTCACGTTCCCATATACCAGCACGTCGAAGCGGATGCCGAAAGCCTTCAGGAGCGTGCGGTATTCTTGGCCATTCTCCATCTTGTAGTACTTGGCATACCTGGAGACCAGAGCAAAGGCGGGTTCTGCTGTGGGCTCCTGTCCTTTCAGCCCAAACTTTTGGAGTGTTCTAGAGCTCTGGTGGCCCAGTTCTTAACCACTCGGTTGCTAACTGAACAGTCAGTGGTTCAAACCCACCAGCTACTCTGCAGGAGAAAGATGAAGCAGTTCTACTTGGTCCTACAGGAACACTGTGAGTCACCATCAACCCAAAGGCAGTGGGCCGAGCCCTATGATGTATAGGGACCAAGCACCCCACGAATGGTTTGGGGATGGACCTGCTACACTCCCCCCTGTGTGGCCAACTGACCTCCTGATTAATTAAAAAGGCAGATTCCCAGACTCTATCCTAAACCCATGAAATCAGCATCTCGGGGTGGGAGCCCAGGAACCTCCCTTCGAAATAATATCCCTAAATGGGCCTGCTGTTTACTGATGTTTGAATGATTACTGAACTCCAAGCTTTTTAAGCTCTCCTTCTCTGGGTATCCCAAGTCTATCATCAAAGACCCCCTCCCCGCAACACACACACACACACACACACAGTTCCCTGAGTTCAGTTCCTGGCTCTGTTGCTTACCCGTTGTGCAACCTTGATACTTAACCTGAAACTCAGTTCCTCCCTGATGAGTGGGGAACATATCAAAGTCCTGCTCCATACGGTTGCCATGAGATTTGACTGAAAGGGACGTAGAAACCAAAACCAAGCCCAACCCACCACCACCGAGTTGGTTCAGGCTCAGAGCAACCAAGAACTGCTTCGTAGGGTTTCTGAGACTGTAAATCTTCACGGGAGCCAACAGCTTCATCTTTCTCCTGTGAAGCAGCGTGAACCACCTGTTATAGTTAGTAGTCCAGTGTTTAACCAACTGCATCACCAGGGCTCTCAGGAAATATCTGCTGCTATTGTCACTGCGGAATACATTTGCCATTGAGTCGATTCCAGTTCACAGTGACCCCGTGTGCGTCAGAATAGAATTGTGCACCATAGCGTTTTTGTTGGCTGATTTTTTCAGAAGTGGGCGGTCCGGTCTGTCTTCTGAGGTGATTCTGGGTGGACTGGAATCTACAGTTTGTCTGTTAGCAGGTCAGTATGTTAGTAATTTGCACCAGGGACCGTCGGGCGCTTCATCTTATTTTACCTTTGCACAGGCCTGTTTTTTCAATGAGGCTTCAAGAAGGTTAAGTGATTTGTCCCAGGTTACTTAACTGACTGGGACTCCAAGTGAGATTTGTTGAAGTCTAGGCTGCTTCCACCATACTTCCCTGCTGCCATCACCGGATGCCCGGCGCTGTGACAGGGGTTTTTGTAAGAATGATCACATTTAACTCATACCCTCACTTACATGGGTGCCCATACTCCTATTATGAAGACAGGTAATGAAGGCAACTTCAAAATAGGAGTGTGGGCACACATGTTAAGAATTCAATGTGATCATTCTTATAAATGCCCCAAGCCCTGCACAGGATCACTAAGTGTTGGAATCCACTCAAAGACATTTAACAACAACAATAAGGCAAAAGAGAAGCACTATGGGTTAGGTGTTAGGCTGCTAACTAGAAGATTGGCAGTTCAAACCAACCAGCCACTCCTTGGGAGAAATACAAGGCTGTTGGCTTCAGTAAAGATTTACAGACTTGGAAACCTTATATGGGTCCTTATGAACTGATGGCAGTGGGTAAAGGTGCCAAAGGGATTTGTATCTAGTTTCATAGCGAGTAAGTACTGGCATCATACAACTAATGCTAATTGTATTTGTTGCCTTTGGCACCTAAAAGTTGGCGATTGAACACACTCAGCAGTGCTGCTGAAGCAAGGCCAGGTGATCTGCTTCTGTAATGATTACAGTCAAGAAACCCCTCATGGAGCAAACAGCTCTACTGCGTACCGCACAAGGTCGTCATGAGGCGGAATCTGCTCGACAACAATGTACTGCTTTGGTTTTGGCTTCTGATCCTTTGCAATATGTAGAGGTTCCACAAGATCTCACTGTCTTCCTCTATTCTGCGTTCTGTCTCAAACACTGGTAAACTCAGGGCCCTTGTCTCAGAGATGTGGCAACTGATGCCACAGGGCTGGGTGGAGGTGGGTCACAGATGTTTGTGGCAGAGCTTGTCCCGAAGTCTACATTCCTAGACCAAAGGAGCGGCCACCAGGAAAACACTCTGACATTGACTTGGAGAACACTAAGCCGGCACCCAGGGCACTGCGTGCAAGGCGAGGACTGGCTAAATTTATCCAGGGAAGAACTACGAAGGGAACAGGGAGAAAAATCAAAGTGGACTTGGTTCTTCTCCAGCACCTGGTTTCCAAGAGGCAGTAAGTACGGTAAGATCATTATCGCAACAGCCACCCACCCTTGAAGGAGGATTGGCAAGAACTCGGTTCTCCTCCTGGGCGGGCGGAGGAGGAACAGAACTTGGGGAGGGTGGAGATGCGAGGGAGGGCCCAGGCTACCAACAGGGTATTCAGGACTTCTAAATCCTTCTATCAGCCCAGTGTAGTTGGTGTAGATCTTAGAAGCTGGCCCACCCCTGTGGCAGGGACTGGCTAGATGGTCACCAGAGTCTGGCTTATCACAAGGTAGGTCTTGGCATATGACCAGACCACATTTCCCAGCCTCCAGTAGGGCCTGTGATCAGTTCTTGTTGATGGAACATGAATGGAAGTGAGGTTTCGTAGCTCCAGGCTGTGGACCTTCATCTGGCTCTTTGCTTATTTAATTGTCAGCTTTGAACATAATGCTGAAGCTAGGGGAAACTGAGCCAGTAGGTGGAAGGAGCCCTGAATGGCTGTATGGAGCAGAAGTCCTCTCCTACCCCCACTGGGCCATGACAGGAGCCAGAAACAAACCTTTGTGTTAAGTTATTGAAATGTGGAGGTTGTTTGTTACAGCAGTTAACAATACTTATCCTAACTCGCATGATGCATTAGTGGTTCTATGGGAAAACTCTCCCCTTCCATGTGGGAGACAAGGAGCCTCAAATGCAGCCACCACCATCAGCCATGATGCTGAACAGCTATGAAGCTTCCAGACTAAGACACACAAGGAAGAAAGACCTGGAGATCTACTGAAAAAATCAGACAATGAGAACCCCATGGATCACAACGCTGACTGGGCACTTTGTTCTGTTGTACATGGGGGCGCCATCATTGGGGGTAACTTTACAGCAGCTAACAACAACGATCCTGATGGTTATAAAACCCATACTTTTGTCACAGAGACAACTGAGGCTTCATGATTCACTGAAAGTCATACGATGTGTGGAGACTGGGGACTCAGTCAGGGTTGGCACTGAGGCCACTTGCTCATGATGCTGTATTTCTAAGAGAGTCTTAGGAGATAAGAGTTCAGTTCCCTAGGCCTCCATTCACTAGGTTTTGACCTTGAGCAACCTCTCTGAACATTTTACCCAGCGCTTCAAACCAGTTCACTCCTGTTTGACATCCCCGGCCCCCAAGAACTTGCATTTCCATCCTAGATATACTGAATCAGAATCTATGTTTTTAACAGGTAATTCTTATGAGGATATAAAGATGCACAAGTAAGCCTGTGCTTACTCTGCTTACTGGGTATTCTGCTTCCTGGTCAGGGATTATAAATTTGAAAAGTGGCTTTGATTCTGTAGTGAGGTGCTGTGAGGTTGAAAGAGACAAATGCCAGCCATATCTACAGGCAGAATCTTGGATGTGATGAAAAATGTAAAATTATTCATTGCAGATGATTAAGCATAAATCACTATCAGGGAAGAGAACAGGAGACCCAGGATCTACACGGGTTAAAGGAGGGGTCCCTGCTCCCCTCACCTGAAAAGGGGAAAAAGCGTTGAGCTAGCCAAGCTTGGGCCCGAATTTCCCCCAATTCTCTGATTCTTACCTCTCCAGCTTTGGTTGGAACATGGTATTGTTGAGAAGGAGACCACCATTAAATGTCTTGGCCTGGAATATAAGCTCCCCGCAACCTGGCCCAGTCCACCTTCCTGTCTGTCTCCTTCCGGCCTATTCATGCACCTCAAATTTTAGCCACACCTCATGACCCGCCTTCCTATATTTCCTGAACACCCTCCATAAATATAGACATCTGTGCCTTTGCCCACACTGTTTCCCTCTCCCGGAATGCCATTGTCTCCACCTTGCAAACTCCTAGTCAACCATGAGGGCCCAGCTCAGATAGCTTCTCCCTCATTCAACATTCAAACAAAGCACACAAAGCACACGTGCTACACGTCAGGCACCGTGCCAGGCATTGTGGACACACAGGGACCTCTCCTCTCACCAGAAAGCATGGATGGTGACACGTCTCACATACTGTGAACACATTGTCCGAAGGGATCAGTCCCTGGAAAAGGACATCATGCTCGACAAAGTAGTAGCTGTTGTTGTTAAGTGCCGTTGAGTCGGTTCTGATTCACAGTGACCCTGTATAGGATTTTCCAGGAGCAACTTGTGAATTTGAACTGCTGACCATGCGATCCAAATGATCTTGTGGCCCAGTGCTTATTATATAGTACCACACCAGGATTCCAAAGTAGTAGTGTTTGTTGTTATTGTTAGGTGCTGTGGAGTCAGTTCTGACTCATACTGACCCTGTGTACAACAGAAAGAGACATTGCCCGGTCCTCAGCCATCCTCAGCATTGTTACTGTCATCTCCTTGAGGGCCTTCCTCGTTTTTGCTGACCTTCCACTTTACCAAGTATGATATCCTTTTCCAGGGACTGGTCCCTCCTCTTAACATGCCCAAAGTATGAGCGATGAAGCCTGGCCATCCTGGCTTCTAAGGAACATTCTGGCTGTATTCTTCCAACACAGATTTGTTTGTTCTTCTGGCAGTCCATGGTGCTTTTAACATTCTTCTCCAACACCATAACTCAAATGCATAGATTATTCTGTTTTCCTTACTCATTGTCCAACTGGCAAAGTAGAGGATGAGTGAAAGAGAGGAAGACCTCCAATGAAATAGATGGACACAGTGGCTGCAGCAATGAACTCAAGCATGAC